ACCGTCCCCACGTCCACACCGAGCTGTCTCTGGCCCCGACCGCGCCCGCGCCTCCAATTCCCGGGGCCGCTGGGCCTGCTGTGTCCGGGGCTGCAAAGCTGCCAGTGCGCCCAGGCCTTTGTTTTCGCTGCACCCGGTGTTTTTCTGAGGGTGACCCGGCGCTGCCCCGGGCTTGGGCCTGCCCAGCCGAGGGGTTCAGGAGGCCACGGCCGACACTGCCTGAAGTGTGGTCTCCAAAACCCTGGGCCTTGAGAAGGACCAGTCCAGGGGCAACGGGAAGGCGACTGATAGGACTAACCTAAGCCCTTCCTTTCCTCCCACCTTGCTACCCTGAGCACCCCTCCACTCAGAGGCCTGCTGGGAGACCTCACCCCACCCCATCCCCAAATTAACTGGAGCCGCCTGAGGCCTCTTATGCAGCAGCGGAGGCGGCTGGCTGCGGGGCTCTGGGTGTGTGAGGGAGGCACCTGGCTCTGGGCTCTGCCCCTTCCCTCTCTGATGAAACCAACTTTTGCCTCCCCAACACTGCCTCTACCCCTCACCCCACAAGCTATGGGGTTCTCTCTCTTTTACCCTTTCCTTTCTTCTCTTTTCAATTAGATTGGCAGTTTGGCAGTTTGGCAGTTTGGCAAGGCTCCCAGGAGCCTGTAGTGCGGAGCTGTGGACCCCGCCCTGACCTCTCAACTAGGGAAACAGCCTTTGAGACTGAACCCCAAGTTGAAGTAAGATGAGAAGGAATGGCATGAAGGGTGGCTGGGCTAACACAGGACAGAAGCCCTGACTTGGGGAGGGGCCGTTTCACGCCATATGCCTGCTGCAGAGAGAGGATGGAGAAACAAAGGAAGATAGAAAGAAGGTCAGGGAAACAGCACAATGGACTGAAAAATTTGAGAACAACAAAGAGAAAAAGACGGGTGAGGGAAGAAACCATTTGAGAAAGCCCTAATGCTGGGGTAGAGGAGGGGTCCCCGGAGGGCGGCTGGGAGAGAGATGAAGGAATATTGACAAAGGACAGAATGAACAAGCGGGATTAGTTAGTTTTATGATGAACAAAAGCAGAAAGGACACAAAGAGAAGGAAAGAAAGAACAAATTAATAAAAGGAGGGAGCTAGAAAGTAAAAGAAAAGGGAAGGAAAAGAAATTTAAAAAATTAAAATAAAAAAGAAATGGAGGGGAGAAGGAGAATGAGAAATGAGATAGAAAAGAAAGGAAGAAAGATAGGAGAAAGGGTAAGAGGAAGGAAAGGCCGAGGAAAGGGAGAATATAGAGGGCAAAGGGGAGGTACGGCAGAAAGAAAGCAAAACAAGGAAGGGGGCATAATATAAAGATACAGAGAGAGAAAAGGAAAGAGGAGAGAGAACAAAACCGAATTAACATGAAGGGGAACCCACTTGGGAGGGGCAGAGGCAGGGAAGGCACAAGGTGAAGAGTGGGCAGGGAGAGGCCCCGTGGGGTGGGTAGGGACCAGACCGCCCCACTGTGCGGTACCCCAGGCAGCTTTGCCCTGACCTACCACTACCACCACCGTTACCCCAGCGCCAGGGCCCACCCAGGCCTCCTGCCCCCAGCTTCTCCATTGAAGCAGCTGACCTAGCTCCTCCTGCCTCAGCTGGGCAAGCCCTGGGGCTCAGCAGGTCAAGGTCTAGTTCCCAAACCAGCACAGGAAGCAGAAGAGGCAGTTGAGGGAGGGGCAGGCGGTGGGCCCCTCTCCTAGACCCAGTCCTGTCTCCCTCGGCCCCTAGTGCCTCCACTCGGACCTTGCTGGCCAGGCTGACTGCGGACTGGGCTGCTTGCTCTTTGGGAAGGCTCTGACTGAGAACTTAGGCCTCCTTTGGCCACATGTTGAATGGGCTTTCTGCACGGGATGGTCCTGGAATCTCGGTGAGCCTGCCTGTGTATGTGCAGGTGAGAGAGGGGCGAACACAGGCCTGGTCGCCCCTGGGAAAGGCATCTGCACTTTCTTCCTTGTGAGAAGAAACGTCTTCCCCCTTTGCCATCCTTCTCTCCATCCCGGCCTCAGAGACGCCGCCAGGCCAGGGCGTTTCTCCTCGCCAGCAGGGCTGGGATTGATCTGTGAAGAGCTTGGCATGAGTCTTGCAAGTGCTGGAGGAGCCAGAGAGCCTCCCTCTTGAAAGAGAATGAGGACATTTCCTACCAGGGCAGGACTTAGATTTGCAGTATATCTCACTGAACTCACACACACAGAGATTAATGGGCAAAGTGGCTTTAGATTCAGCTTGTGGGGGAGCTCAGCTGGGGTGGCTGTGTGTCTGAAGCGCATTGGGCCTGCAGTACACACCCAGTTCAAGTGCTGGAGGGGAGTGGGGGAGGGAACTTCCCAGTGAGAGCCAATTAGATCACCTCTTTGTTTGTCCAAAATGGGATGGGGCAGGTCACTGAGGTCAGCCAGGTCTTCCAAGGACAGTGCAGTCCTTGAGGATGGGCTAAAGGACCCCCAAACCGGCTGGAAAGCCATGTCCACAGGATACCTTGCAGTTCCCCCTTAGGGGGCCTCAGTCCTGCGCTTCCCAGCACTGCTTATTGCTCTTTCAGCTTTCCTCCCCTGTTCTTGAGCTTTTTGCCTTCCTTCCTACCTTCCTTCTTCCCTTCCTTCCTTCCTTCCTTCCTCTCGCTCTTTCTATCTCTATCTCTATCTCTCTCCCACCCTCCCTCCCTTCCTTTCTATTTCTCTCTCTCCATCTAGTCCAGTGGTTCTCAACCTTCCTAACGCCGCGACCCTTTAATACAGTTCCTCATGTTGTGGTGACCCCAACCATAAAATTATTTTCATTGCTACTTCATAACTGTAATTTTGCTACTGTTATGAATCGTAATGTAAATATCTGATGTGCAGGATGTATTTTCATTGTTACAAATTGAACATAATTAAAGCATAGTGATTAATCACAAAAACAATATGTAATTATATATGTGTTTTCCGATGGTCTTAGGCGACCCCTGTGAAAGGGTCATTCGACCCCCAAAGGGGTCGCGACCCACAGGTTGAGAACCGCTGATCTAAGTCCAAGATGGGTTCTTATATATACTATCTTTATATCCCAAAGGCTTTGTTCTGAGACTTTTAGGCAAGCTAACATGAGCCCCCCCAGAGTTCATTATGTGGTTGCAAACATTGGGATTGAAAGTAAAGGGCAAAATGATGTGGAGTAAGCTTGCTGATCAGGTGCGGGATCAACCAACTTGTTTTCTGTGTCAGTCATGCTTATTACCATCATATCCCTGTATCATTCCAGAACATCCTTCCTCACCTCCAGCCATCTGCAGGCCTGCCCCAGCCCCTGCGGGGGAGTTGCTGTTGCCCCCAGGCCGTTGCGCTCACAGGGTGAGGGCCTGTAGGAACTCACCTTGGTGCAGGGAGGTGAGGTCAGTGATGCCAGGTCAGTGCCTTAAACGGTTAAGTAAGTAAGGCCTATTTCCCTATTCTTGGATGGAGAGGCTGGTTGATTCTGGCTCTTGGCTGTCTCTCCAGCCCTGACTGGCCAGGCCCACCGCCATCCACATCTGCCCAGAAGGGAGCAAAGATGGGAGGTCGCTCACTCCAGGCCTTGGTGGAGCAGATGCAGACATCTGCCCTAAGCCGCTCCCGTGCCCCTACCTGGCCTGGCTGGCAAGGAGGAGCCCAGTTCACTTCTTGGGACCTGGATGTCTGCGCAGAGCCTGCAGCTGCCGCTGCCTCCTGGAGCCCGACGCTGGAAGCAGCTTCTGCCTTCAGTTCTCCGTGTGCCGGGGCCTCTTCTCTGTTCAGTTGCTGTTGTGCTTTTGTCCCCTTGCCTGGGGGTGCGGTGGGGTGGGGAACCAGAATGAAATGTTTCTCTCAGTGCCCCTAGTCCTTCCCCACAGTCCCCCAAACCTCCAAGCAGCGGGTGGTAAGAACCTGCAGCTTCCAGCCCTGCTCAGGAGCAAATTCAGATTCTCTTCCGGGCACGGAGGCCGCGGAGGCTCCTTCTTCAGGTCTCCCTTGCTCATTGACCCATGTTAAGGGCATTTGGGGGTCAAAATTGAACCCAGATCGCTTCCATTGGTATAAAATTAGCATTTTTTTATCACACCAAAGACCCAGACTTCTCGCATCAAGGAATAGGTGGTCCTCACCCAGACCTGCACCTCTTCTCTGGGCTCTCAGACCAGTGACGGTGACGGTTTGGTGAGACGGAGGACTAGAAGGGGAACGAGCAGTCTGCTCCGTGGAGAAGTCAGTAGCTTCAGCTGCTCATGCCACCGATATTTATTTAGCACGTAGTATGTGCAAAGCATCGCCTCTGCCTCCGTTTGTCACGACTGTCAAAAAGATTCTTGCCAGTGTGAGGCTTCAGTGAGTGTGGACAAATACATAAATAAACCAATCACTGGGAAAGAAAGTTTGGATTCAGCTGATGTTGCTTGCAGCCTTCCATGTGCCAGTCTCAGAGCCCCTGTCTTCCCAGCTCCAGCTCCCCAGACCCAGTCCCTGAAAACCAGGACTATCCTGGGCTCATGTTTCCCCCACTAGAGCGAAAGACACACCCGGGGATCAGCAGACCCGAAGCCCTGAAATAAAGGGACTGGGAGGGTGGGATGGTAGGCACAGGTGTCCTCCAGTGGTCCCTCCCCATCTTTGAGGTGTGCGGCGTGCGGGATGTGTGTGTGTGTGTGTGTGTGTGTGTGTGTGTGTGTGTGGCGGGAGGTGCTCCTCTGGGTTTCCGAGCAAGCAGGCTGCGTGCGGGTTTTCCTTTCTATAATCACGTGCCTGAAGGTGACAGCAAGGTTGTGCCTGTGCAAGTGAGCTGAAGAGGGGTGGACAAGTGTTTCTGCCCCAGACTGTGTGCAGTGGGCCCAGACGCCCGCACAGGAGCAGGTGCACATGTGTTGGGGGGGGGCGTGCATGCAGTTCTGAGCATATGTCTGCATACATGACCTTCCATGTATGCAAGAGCCTGTGTACCAGCTGAATTATTATAAAATTACACTGACCCTTACAGAAAATCCATACTGGCCTCAGCCTTTCTCCCCTGACCTCTCGACCTCTGGGGTGCCTGAGGAAAGAGCTGACCCGGTCACTGCCTCCCCCTAGTCAATGAGTCTCTCTCCATTAGCATAAAACATGAATCTGCTGGCAGCTTGACAAATTATAACTAGCAGCCAGAGTTTTGCCAACTGGCTGGCTTGGGCGCTGTCTATTTATCATTGAAAATGGTAAATCATAAGAATCCAGATGACTTAATTATTCAAATCCACCCAGGACCCAGAGAAGCTGCAGTCCCGTCAATCTCAGCGCTGGGCTCAGGGAGAGGGCAGGGGGGTGCTGGTAGCCCTGGAGCTGGGAGAGGCAGTTCCATCGCCACCCTTCTCCTCTGCGCCACAGGCGGGGGCTTTCTCTGCAGCCCCTTCCCCTCCCTGCCTACCTTC